CGACCCCTCCCCGGACCCGAGCTACATTTGTTTCAGCAGCTTTTGGCGAAGCTTGACCGGATTATCGAGGAGTACGCTTTGTAACCAGATCTGATTTGAGTAGTAAGGCTGAACCGAGGCAGAGCGGAGGGAAAGGATGAGACGGAATATTGGTCGAGATTGATGCTGGAAAGTGAAACGAGTACACAGCTCCAAAATACCCTTCACGAGGCCCAATTCGCTGGCGGTTCCCCAGGTCTGTGACAATAAAACTTTCCCGCCCCTGGGGTGCTGTGCATTGGTTACCGGTGGTCTATCTGTGGTGTTTTATTAGGCGCAAGCACTGTGCATTGACACTAAATCTCTGCTTTTGACTTGTGATGTGTGTTGAGGCCGGTGTTTGGGTGGTGCCGCTGTTGTGCCGTGCTGCATGCTGTGCCGATCTGGTTGTGCGTGGGTGCGCGCGTGGGCGGACGTGTGATTCACAGCCTGCGTAGAAGTTGGCTTGCGTCATGCACCCTGCGGTGACGTCACCCACGGCGGCTGCGCGTCGCTTAAGGACAGACTGTCCGGGGTTCCCGCCCGAAGCGCTGGTGTTCCCTCGGCTGCAAGGACGCTCTCCGGCGCGTCGTCCGCTTGTGAGTGGTGCTATGGCCTGTCGCCAGAATGCGGAGACTGCGGAAAGTTCTTGGCTGTGCGCATTGTGATACTCTCGCTGCTTCTCTAATGTTAGGCTCCATTAGTGGGTTGGTTGGTTTGTATACTCGGGTACGTGGTTTGTCGTGTTGGTTCACCGCTCGCCTGCCTGTACTTACCGCACAGAGGTCATACTCGCCCAACTCGCTACTTCGTCTGTAGCCCTGCACTACCTTACCCACACTGCCGCGCTGCGACCCGCCCGCCCCCGCCGCCCCGTAACGCTGATTGCAGAAAGAAGCGCCGCCTCCCCGCGCCGGACTCTAGCCACTCCGGCGTTCCCGGATCGCACCGGACCGCACCGGGCCGAACACCCCCGCCGCACTGCACGCCTCCTGCCCGCACGCCGTCGACCGTCGAACCCGGATCCGGAGGCTTTACCGACCGGACGGCTGCGGCCTGAGGTCACCCCGGCCGTCGGAGGCGCCCAGGCCCCGTATGGTCCCGCTGACGCGAATTCGGACACGCACGGTCTACCACAGCCGCCAGCCTCGCACGCCCGCAGGCGCCGGGATTACCGGCTCGCAGCCGCCGGCCACAACGTGAGCGGATCAGGCCACCCCGCCTGGGGAGCGCTTGAGCGAACGCTATCACCACGCAAGTCCGACTCTATTCAGTATTGTCCGATGGCGATGGGACTACGGTCACTGCCCTCCGAGATCACATGCTTCGCCCCCCCCCCCCCCCGAAACAGAAGCGTGCTCCTGTTTCAGGGTACATTTAATCACACTGCACTCAAGACCTGCGACCTGGGGGCACCAAGGCGCCTGCGTGTCACGGCACGACGTCGTTGTCGAAGCTCAACACATTCCATCTCATAGTTAAGTCGGATCACTCCAATTCGTCGTTGCGTCATTGTCTGTTAGAACGCTTAGTCAAACGTTGAGTCAATCAGCCAGCCTATCTCGAGCAGAACGTTGAGCCATTATTAAGTTCATTGTAAGAACACTGGAGTCGATTGCAGGGCGCTGGGGTGCACCGGTTGCCGGGTGGGGTTGCGCGGGCCGGCTGGCCACCGGTCCGTCCGGCGCCGCTCGGTCGCCGGTTGTGTCCCAGCTGCCTAGTACACAGCGTCCGTGCGCCGCGCGTCGCGCCGTCTCGTTACAGACCTCCGATCACATCGGCAGAGCAGACATGCCGTCGGGCGAGAAGAGGAGCGATACAGTGAAACTATAACAGATTCGCACGGTCCCGTACGTACACGCTGGAAGTGATGTTGATCACGCGTATAAGTACATCCGCCGCAGCGGAACGGTAAAGACGAAGTACGTTTCCAGGTAGATACGTCAGTTGACTTCAGAACACTGAACGAACGGCGGCACTGCATATTATACTGAACGCGATTAGATAGAGCACTTGAGTGGCGTCAAATCGCACGAGGCTTGTTCGGCTTCCTATCCTGGGTCCTGCCCCTCCCGGTGTGCAGGTGCTCTGTTGCAGGGTTGAATGACTGAGCCAAGGCTTGCCTGTCGGCGGATGCGCTCCGGAAGTCCTGCGGACGACTCATTTGCCATCCAGTCACGCTGCTTCGGACGAATTAATACACGCGAGGTTGGAAAACGTTTCCGATGGTCTTTACTGCCAGCAGATGGTGAAAGTAAGATGCAAGGTTGAAAGAGAGGGGCTATGGTACGAGATGGTGAAACGCCTTGACATGGTTGTTCCAATGAGAACTCGGTCGGTGGTGTCGTCGTTCCGAAATGTGCGTTTCTGGTTATCACGCTCCTTTGATCAGTTATATAGTGAGTTCAACAAATTTGGTGTGAAATTATGGCGAAAATTATGCGGTTTTTCTTCCGTGCGGATGCCTGACAAAAAGAACTATTATGTAGCATGGAATTTTTTTCTCCTATGGCTTATGCGCGAAGGGCTATGTATCTACGTGACCATTGGGATGTGTGTCCAGGGCAGGCGGAAGAAAGTGTGCGCGTGTGGCGCGCCTTTGAAATAACCATTTGCGCTAATATACTCGGAGTTCGCGGATGTTGTACCAGGGTGGGTGAGGGGGGTCGTGGACGACTGACTTTAGTGTTCCAGGACAATGATTGGCGGTGATTGTGCCTGGGAGGAAATGATGCCTCGAAGAATGTAATGTGGTTGCAATTTATCCTCCTTAAAGGTATGACTTACTACGCTGGTGTTTACGATGGCTGGTGTGGAAATACGTACATTGTCGATGTATTTTTGGTTATGCGTAGGGTGGTTATGGTTGTTCGGCTTGGCCGGGAGCGGGCATAATGTTATCCGTCTACCGAAATGTTGAGTTGGTCCGGCGAAGTAAAAAATGTAAGTGGACGCGGGTATTAATCCTCGTTATATATCCGTCTACCGAAATGTTGAGTTGGTCCGGCGAAGTAAAAAATGTAAGTGGACGCGGGTATTAATCCTCGTTATATGAACTG